AAGGTTGGGCAATCTACTTCCATAGTGATACTGCCTCGGAAACCCAAGGAGGGGTTGCTATGAGTCGGGTCTGACTCAACCGCACACACATAACAGCACAACATTGAGGTTTAAAAAAAAAAAAAAAAACTAAAAAATAGTAAACTCTCCACTACCCTCATCCACAGACTACTGGGATTTTTCACGAAGCAAGCTCCTATCAAAGAATAGCTGACCAGTAATCAGTTTGAATGAAAACCAAGTTGTGGCTTGCTGCTTAAACTTCAAGCAAACTTGATTTCCTGAGTTAGTAGATCAGGGAGGAACTTTACAGAATTACCCAACCTCAACAGCGAGAGGTGCTACTGGAGCTGACATCTTTCCTGAACTTGCATCTTTCCTGTTTTGTGTCTCCACACCTCGCACAGCCCCAAGACAGCTGCACTTGAACATTAACTTAGCTGACATCTTACTCCTTGAAAGAAAGAAGAGGTTTTAAAGGAAAACCGTAAAGCTGGAAACTTGTTAAAGGGAGATCTGTAGCCGTGCCCCAGCAATCCTATAGCTGTTGCTGACCCAGATGAGACAGTAATCCCATGACTGAGAATCAGACACCATCTGAAGAAACGGCCCACCCACGAGAATTCTGAAAGGCTTACTGTCTCACAAGAATTTGGGGCAAGTGCCTTATTGCCCTGGCTCTCCTGGCAAACACTTGGCATCTTACAATGTGAAGTATTTATAAACCCCTAAGGATGGTGGTGTGTGTGTGTGGGAGAGAGAGAAAAGAGGGAGGAATAAAGGATCCAGAGCCCCCTTAACTCAGTCACTCACTGCCGTGGAGTCAGATCCAACTCACATCGACCCCTCCTTGGGTTTCTGAGGGGTATCACTGTGGAAATAGATTTCCCAACCTTCCTTCCGAGGAGTGGCTGGAGGAGTGGCTGGTGCAGTGGCTTGTGCGTTTGAACCTTCAGCCTCTGGTTAGCAGTCAGATGCCTTAGGCACTGCACCACCAGTGAGCCACATTAGCCAGGAACAAATAAGAAATGAGACTTGAAGCTAGAGTGTGCATTTTGGGCTGTTTCTAAAAGTGCCTTCTAGCCTCTCCATGCAAATGAAAGTAGACTGGGAATCCAGGAAGAATCACGCTTCCAGAATTCTATGTACTGGTATAGAGGAAGAGAAAGAAAATGCCCTTATTGCCTAAGCTTAAGAGATTCATTTGGAAACTTTTAAGTGCCAATTCATTCAGATCTAGATTTCCTAAAGATAATCCAGATGGGGAGGGGAACCCTCTAAAAACAAGGTATTAGAGTGTCCCTGTGGCAGCAACCTGAGACCAGTGTTTCACAGCCCAGTATCAGTCTTTAGCATAATGATTCGGGGATGGTAAGTGGCTCACCCAAAGCCACACAGCAGGGTAAAGGTGGAGCTTGGGTCTTCTAACTTACAGACTTCCCAATACCATACTTCCTTGCACTTAGGGAAGAGTTACTTCCCAGGTGTTTGTAAAACAGGCTACAACTTCTCCCTTAAGGAGAACACTCCCAGTTCATCCGATGGTCACCATCAGCTCAGGCTGCCAAGGCTCTTGCCACCGCTATATAAGGCTCTCGGAGTGATTCCCGTCTGTCATTCCACACCTGAGGGGGCAACTTTATACAAACATCACACCAGACTGCCTTAATTTTCCCTCAGGGAGGCCCTGGTTTAGCAGCTGGGTTCAAACCTCCTGTGGTGCTGAACTGTTTGATCCCTGGAGCGAGTACAGAGCACAGCAGCTCCAGGAGGCAGGCCAGCTTCAGCTGCTGAAACAGCTCGTCCTCAGTGGAACTGGCAGGGCTTGGGAATGGGCAGCATCCTTCCTGGTGCTCATCCGTTTGTCTAGGTAAGGTCAGCCACCCTTGTTTTAACCCTTTCAATACTGAATTATTTGCGGCTTGGAGTTTTTTGTTGAAACCACGTGTTTTCAGTAATGACAGCATTTTGAATAAAAAAGAAAATTGTGAGGTAATAAGGATTTTGATCATTAGTGGAACACATGTCCCAAGGGGTCTAGAGTGCTGGAGTTAGTGGGACAAGGCCCTTTTCTTCAGATTCACACAGTTACCCAGCCCCCATCACATAGCAGCACACACCAACAGTGGGACAGCAGTTCCTACTAAACCTCAGAGGTGGAAAATGTAGGTGAACACTCTGTGTCCCACAGGTCTCAAAAGGGTTAAGTCAGACACAAAGGCAACTGGCCAGGAACCCAATGGTATACTTTAAACCTCAGAAACTTGGGAGTGCTAAGTGATTCATTTCTCCTCTTTCTCTAGGTTTTTTCCTTTAAATTTCTTTTTCCTCTTGGGACCTAAAAAAGCCAGTTTTCCAGTGTAGACAGCCGAGGTTCAGAACCTCAGCCATCCCACTTGCCCCATTTAAGCCATCCCAGCAATTCTGGCCACACATCATTGTCACATGGAACCAGAAGCAGCCAGGGTGTGCATTTTGGCCCTTTCAGCTCAGCAAGGTGTCCCTAGAGGATCTGAGTTAGTGTCCATGCTGAAAAGAGCTTTCCCTAGAATTGGCACTAATGAGTAAGTTAATTTCCACCACCAACTTCTCCACCTACTTTAAAAAGTGCAATAAAGATCGGGGGGAGGAGAGGGTGAATGACTTAGTAACAACCAACTGGCCTTGAATTTCAGACTACTACTCTTCCTAACTGAACTGTCTCCTTGCCTGGTTAGTCCAATAAATGCATGGTGAAGGTACACACCACATGGTACTCATCAGTGTTTACATTGTAATATATGTGGAATGAATGTGTCAGACAAACCACCTAATTTATGTGTGGGCTAAGGCTAACTTCTTGACAGGAAGGGTTGAAAGTGCTGAAACAGAGCTACAATTCAGGCTTGCTGGACTGACTGAAATCCGTCCATACCACAGAGAGAAACCAAGGTGAATTTGGAAGGGCAGAGGTCCCAGAAGGGACCCAGCAATAAACTGCCCTCACATTCATTTCCAGAGACCAAAATTTAAGAGTCCTAAGTAATGTAACTATTTACCATTGCCAGGTTTACAATACACTGTCAGGATGTCAGGGATGGAAGGAATCCATACAGGACCCTGGTCATCTCATCTGTCCCCTTAAGCCTTCACAAAAGCATTCCTTTTTAAGTTTAATCATCACAACAAAAGGGAAGTCAGAATCAATGAGTCCTAGAAATATATATACTAGTTTAAGGGCAGGGCCAAATGATGACACAGAAAACAGGATCCATCCACATGAAGGTAGAGAGTCACTTTCTAGTCAGAAAACTGATGTCAAACATTATTTAGTAACTAGACCAAAGCTCAGAACCTCAGCAGCCAAAAGAACTCTAGGTATCACTTATCCCACCTCACTTGACAGAAGCCCTGCTCTCTAATTCCTAGGCAGGATTTCTTTTAGCTACACTGGCCTGATGCACAGTATTTTAGGTTGAATAAAATCATATACTTCCAGGAACCTGCATGATTCTACTGGAAAGCAAGACTAAGGCTTTACGGGTTTGAGGAAACTTAAGCTCCTATCACAAGATTCAACCCAAGAATCCCAGAGGTGCTTTGAAGTCTCTGGCTCTGGAAGCTGATGAAGAAATTCTGCTTTATGTCCTGAAGCTCATGTGATTCAGTCAAGGTGCTTTCCAGCCCCAGGGAAGGCAGCTGGGGCCTGCACCTCACCAGGTGTCCTGATGATGGTGAGCATCAGGGGTCCACAGTTAAGGCTCATTAGAGACTAACTCCCAGAGTCTCATGTGGCCACTGTCACAGGAGGAAGACCTGGTGACTGCTTCCGTAAAGATTACAGCCTAGAAAACCCTATGGGGCACTTACACTTTGTCACATAGCGTCACTGGGAGTCCAAATCAACTCAATGGCTCCTAACATCCAGTGCTTCCATCTCACATGGAGTAAAAGGTTCAGCCACACTGCTTCCTGGAAGTACACTGCCAAATTAGGCTGCATTCTCCTACAAAGAGGGATCAAAGTGACTTCCTGATTTCTTTGCTTCAAGATGCAGAAAAACACAAATACAGCTTCTAGATTAGTGGCTGCACGTTTGGAATCACTGGTGACATTTTCCAAGTCTTCCCTGGAGTAATTCAAGTAGCCAAGCTACCCATAGCTCAATAGGTTTCTCCTCCAGGCTGCAGTTTAATTACAAGGGGCAAGACTGAATCCATGGCACCTTAAATTCTCCTTGTGCCCTTCCAAAGGAAAAAGGAAAGGATCTGTGTGACACGCGCAGGGGACTGAGCCATCTGGCCCCCTGGCTAGTAGCAGTGGTACAGCTGTGATTTCACAGCCCGCATGGAGTCATCACACTGCGCATCGGAGGTCAGCCCCTCAGGCAGCAGGGCCTTGCCCAGGATACTGTCACAGGCAGGGACAGGCTGGCAGAACTCTCTCACAAAGTCATCCTCTGAGGCCAGCAGCACCTCATTCCAGGCGGTGATGTCCAGCTCTCCAGCTGTGCCCCCGTACTCCTTGGGGAGAATGCTTCTTGGAAGGCTTGTGTGGAGTGAGTCCAGGTCAGACCCATGGAGGAAGAACTAAGGAAGGCATGGAATGAAAACATACGCATCCTTTGGTCAATGAGTAGTACGGCTATCTAGGTCACAGTAGATGCTAAATGAACAGCTGCTGAATGAAGAAAGTGACAGGGGCAACTCCACCCTTCTTTGCAGTTCCTCAGCCCAAAAGCCTTGTGCTGTGTGCTGTTGAATTGATTCTGACTCACAGCAACCCTACAGGACAGAGTAGAAGTGCCCCATAGGGTGTTACAGGCTGTAACCTTACAAGAGCACATTGCCGGGTTTTTCTCCTGCAGAGCCGCTGGTGGATTCAAACCACCACCTTTTCACTTAGCAGCCAAGTGCTTAACCACTGTGCCACCGAATCTACTGCCGTCAAGTCAATTCTCACTCATAGTAACCCTATAGGACAGAGTAGAATCGCCCCATAGGTTTTCCAAGTCTGTAAACCTTTATGGACGCAGACTGCCTCATCTTTCTCCTGCAGGGTGGCTGGTAGATTCAAATTGCCGACCTTTCTGTTAGCAGCCCATTTTGCCACGAGAGCTCCTTAAAAAGTTTACAGTATCTTCTTTTCTTCTACACTGTGCTGTGCTGTCTGGACCTCTGAAATAGACCCAGAATCCGATACCATCCTAATCCACGCTGTCATCACCTCTCACCCAATTCTCCTAATAACCTCCTACCTGGTATCCCTCCTTGCAATCTCACCCCACAACAATCTGAGCTTTTTTAGATACTCAGGTCACATCCCTCCTCTCTGGACCACTTTCCAGTGCTCTTGTCTCCCACAGATAAACACTAATGTGCATACAGTGGCCCACAAAGCCCTTCTCAGTCTGGCCTCTTATGTGTCTTTTGTAGGACTCTCTCTCCTCTGCTCTCCACTCCAACCAAACCAGCCTCTTGGCTGTTCCTCCAGCATGCCGGGTATGCTCCCCTCCCTGGTCTGTGTAGTTGCTGGCCCCTCAGGTTATCTGTGTGACTTACTCCCTCACCTCTTTCCAAGTCTTGGCTCAAATGCCACCTTTCAGTAACACTCTTTCTTCCCAGCCTATTGAATACCTGACCCTTTTCCTGCCTCTCTCACTCACTATCCCCTTTCTGTTTTATTTTTCTCCATAAAACCTACCACATTTTAAGGAGGCCTGGTAGCACAACAGTTAAGCACTCGGCTGCTAACCAAAAGGTCAGCAGTTTGAACCTACCCAACTGCTCTGCAGGAGAAAGCCCTGGTGATCTGCTCCCATAAAGATTACAGCCTAGAAAACCCTATGGGGCAGTTCTACCCTGTCCCATGGGGTCACTGGGAGTCACAGTCAACTTGACAGAACCTAACAACAGCCTTACTAAACAGCATATATCATCCATTGTCTGTCTCCCCCTCTAGAAGGCAAGCCTCCTGGTGGCAGGGATTCTTACCTGTTGTGTTCATCTGAAACATGACTGTACATAGTAGCTATCAATAAATACGTTCGAATGAATGAACATACAAATGAACAACATCATGGGCCACAAATAAGGGCATTCCACAGATGTGAAAACTGGTCCTGAGCCTGCTTTGAGAAAAGCAGGTTCCAAACAGGACCTCCAGGGACTAATGTGGGTTCAGATCCAAGCAGGGAGGCCATGAAATTAGTGGTTCTCAAACACAGCTATGCCTCAGACCCACCCAAGGAAATTTTAAAAACACAGATTCCTGGGCTCCGCTCCAGGTTGCTGAATCAGATTTCTCAGAAGGGCCTGGAAACTGGATTCCTGACAAGCTACCCAGAGATGTCAGACTCACATCTAAGAACCACTAGGCATTGTGTTCCCTCCCTGGCAACGCTGACATGCTCCACGGACTTCCTCTTTGAAACCCTGTAAAATTCAGGGCGAGGAAGGTTGGGCAATCTTCTGTAGCAATACCGCCTTAGAAACCCAAGGAGGGGTCGCTATGACTTGGGTCCGACTCCACGGCACATGACAACAACAACAGTCTTCAGAGTGATTAGAGTACTGTCAGGCCTAAGGAAGAAAGCAAAACCTACCCCCACCACATTCTAATCAGCTGCGCTGGGAAAGGTTAAAAGAGAAGTGGCTGTTCTGTGTCAGAGATAAAGACCTATCTTTCTCCTCTGTCTTCGCCTAAATAAGAGTTACGTTAAAAACTCACACATCTCATGAACGCCAAATTACTCCACACACTTTATACGGTGAGACAAACAGGTTTTAAATGCCAGGGTGCTACCTAAGAAATCACCCTAACTCTGTTGAATGCTCTGCCCAGTGCCTATCCTCCTCCACTTCCCCATCAAGCCCTCTTGCAGATAAAACAGACTATTGGTTGGTTCATGATAACTGAGCCAGAATACGAAAAAAAGCCTAAATGATACAGAGCAGTAACCATTTAGCCAGGAGCTCTGGTGGCGCTGTGCCTAAGGCATTTGACTGCTAACCAGAAGGCTGGTGGTTCAAACCCACCAGCCACTCCTCGGAAGGTTGGGCAATCTACTTCCGTAGTGATGCTGCCTTGGAAACCCAAGGAGGGGTTGCTGTGAGTCAGGGCTGACTCGATGGCACATAACAACACAACAACAACCATTTAGCCAGGAAACAGTCCCAGAGCAAGAAAATAAACCACATACCAACGTGTCTCAAATAGAGTAAGTCAAGGGAGCAAAAAGAAAACCACTTGGAAGTATTTGTGTTCCCAGGTCATCACTTACTCTGTTTGCTATTTTCTCCTTCAGAAATGGTTTTATGATGGCAAAGATGCCTTTAAATATCCGAGGCTCATTGACCACGTGGACTGCTTTTATCCGAATGGGGAAACCATCCTGTGGGGAAAATGGAAACGGGTGTTAGAACACCTGGAGTATCTGCAAACTGTCCATTCCGTCACACAGCTGGCCTCCCCATTATACCTTCATTTCAGGCCCCTAGGCTAATCTGACAAGAAGCCCTGGTTGCACAGGGTTAAAGCACATGTCTGCGAACTGAGAGGTCGGCGATTCTAACCCACCAGCTGCTCTGCAGGAGAAAGATGTGGCAGTCTGCTTCTGCCAAGATCACAGTCTTGGAGATCCTATGGGGCAGTTCTGCCCTGTCTTACAGGGTCATTATGAGTCAGAATCAGTTTGACAGCAGTGGGATACTAATCTAGTCTGATTTCCACAGCCTCCCCCAAGACAGCTCAAGTGAGGTCTCAACAGGAAGACACACCTCAGGGAAAGAATCCCTCCTGGGATCCAGAGATGGCTTAGAAGACAGGCGGTCAAGTGCAGGGCAGCTCCTTCTGTGGCAAAAACTGGTCAGAATGTGTGTGGCAGATCTAGCAAGTACCAGACCTGGGGGCCAGAGCTGCCTGGAGCACATTTCTCAGGGTGTGATTAGGCATGAGGCCAAGAGGGTTCATGGTAGCTAAGTGATTAGGCATGAAGCCAACAGGGTTCCATGGTAGCTAAGTGAGTTTGAGAAACAGGACAAAGAAAGTCCAGTGAATTTCCTTAACTGCAGGGCTGTTCAGAGCCTTCCTATGCAAACCTTTACTATGAAAGGTATAAGAAAAGGACACACCATGCCACATTTCCTAAACTTCTTTAACCCTTAGTTAATGCTAAACCTTTTTCCCCAGATCATCTTATCATTTTACAGGAGTAGGAAAAACTGATCCAAAGTCTGTCCTGATGCTAGCATCTACATGGTACCCAGCAGGGGCCATCAAAAGAAGGGTAGAGGCCAAGGGAAGCTGGAGTCCTGGCTCAAAGTCAGAATTCAGATTAGGCTGATGACTGAATATGACATGTCTGTGCTTAAATAATGAGCCTGGTGCACAGGAGGGGCTGCGACACATTTGAGGAACCCAACTAAGAACGTCAGTGTCACTGGTGTTCATCGTTAGCAAGAGCCAGCACCCCAGGGGGCGGGTCAGATTGAGCAGGGAATTAAAACTGGGCCCCAGTCCCTTGTGGCTGTGTGGCTTTGGCCAAGTCATGTCCTATGTAGGTCTCAGTTTCCCCATCTATCAAGAAGGAAAAGTAGTCTTGCCCTGTCTACTTCAGAGGATTCCTTAAAGGACCAAGTGGACTCTGATCACTGCAGATGCACCTGGTAAACCAGCAGGCACTGCGCAGACACAGAAGGAACTTTGTTTGAAGGAGAGGATTTTACAGCTCCTGCTGACTTGTGTCCTTAAAGTACCTGGCCAAAACTCAGTCCAACCATGCTCCACATCCCCAGGTCCCCCGTGTCCCCATGTCCTCAGTGGCCTGTGTGGCTCTAACACCTGGGGTAGCACACACTCTGCGTTTCTTTTGTGAGAATTCCTTTGCCTTCTGGACAGAAAACTAACCTGAAATGCAGAAAGCCTTGCCCTGCTTTTTGGACTTCTGCCCTAATGCCAACCTGCCAGATTGAAGGCACCCCAGAAACTACAGGTGACCCTAACAAGAATGAGAACTGCTTAAAGTCCTTCCCAGAATATTTTTGTATTTTTCTGACTATAGGAGTCGAAAGTGGGGTTTGCATTGTCCCCTAACATCTAGTATAAAAGGATCAGGCCCCAAGATAGCCAACACCCACCCTGGAACGGACAAATGACAGATATGGGCCATACCTGGAGGATGCCAATCACCTTTTTGGCTATAAAAGGGCCAAAATGGGATGCCTTTGATAAGCTCACTCCTTTGTAGTCTGCAAGGATTACAATTCCATTCACCTGGGTTTCTTCAGACTGAATGAGCTTTTCCAGCGTCAAGTACACAGCTCGGATGTTCTCGGTAATTGGATAATTGCTCGGGATCCATCTGTCTACGGTCATAAGAGATGGACAGTATGTTACAAAAATGAATGCAAACAATCAGGCTACAATTTATCTCCTTCTAAACCAGTTTTTTGAATTGTAAAGAGAGGGATTCTAATGGGCATGATTTTATTTAGGTTAGTGTATGTGATGCCTCGCAATCCTTGCTACACCTGAGCCCATCATTGCAGCCACTGTGTCAATCCAGCAAGGATTTTGAGGCTGGCACAGGACTAGGCAGTGTTTCGTTCTGTTATACATAGGGCTGCTATGAGTTGGAGCTGACGCAATGGCACCTAACGACAACAACAACATATGACACCTTGAGCAGCAGCCTGTACATGGGGTCCTTATGAGGAGGAACTGACTTGATGGCACCTCACAACAACATGTCGTAACCTCAAATAGCAGTACGTTCTGAAATGGAAATGCAATCAAGTAGTGGTTAAAAGTAGGAGCTCTGAAAGCAGACACACCTGGATTTGAATCTCACTAGCTTTGTGACCTTGGGCAAGTTAGGGGCTCACACTGACCCTCCATCTCCTTGTAAGCAGCACGGCATCTTACGTACCTCAGCAGACATCTGTGCTTCTGCCATCAATAAGAAGTTCATCAATAATAAGAATAAGAGAGTAAGTTCCTCTTATTCTTGTATCACCACCCTGATTTTCCCTGGGGACCCCCTCTCACTCCATTCGTGCACTTTAGGTAGAACTGACTTGACTCCTAGTGCCAGAGGTGCCCAAGTGGCCTGACTTGGCCATCCCAGGGGCTGCAGGTCCTGACCAGGTCAAGCAGAGCCAGTGAGACTAAATGCTGGGATTCTGGTCCTTTGGAAAAACAATCTCTTCCCACTTGTAGTGCTAAGGGCATGATTCAGGGGCTCCCTGAGGCAAGAACCAGCCTGGGAATGAAGCTCACGCTGAAGACCTCAGAGTTGGAGACATGTTTCCATTGCTATGGTCAGCCCCCCAATCCAGCTGCACCCAGACTTTGGCATTAGCTGAGTTCTTTCTCTTTTCATCCAGTCTGAATTGGCTTTCTGTTGCTTGCCACCCAAAGACCTGAGTCCTGACTCATATACCACCTTCAGGGGATGTTGTGAAGGGGGAGCTTAGTGCTTATGTTCAGGAGGTCCCTCATCAAATTCCTCTTTTGAGACTGGAAGCTCCTTTAACATACTCCTCTAGTATATTTCTCCTCATATATTTGATGACTTTTCTTCTTTTTGGGAAAAAGATGGAAATAGCAACTTTTGACTGTTAACCACCATTCTCAAGAAAATCTCACACCAAAACCTGTGTTCAGATCTGTCTTTTAGAAAAATGAAACTCCACATGATTGCCACCAATGGAACATGCAATCAGTGCAAAATTCCTAGGAAGAAATCATTGTCCAAAGATTGCGCCAGCTTCCTGTTTAACGCTGCTGGTGAATCCTGCCTCTACACAGCTGGACGTCATCCTTTCCAATCACGTATGTCCTGGAAGAGGACATATAAGTGGGGGGAGACCAATGCCCAGCAGAGAACAAAGCTCCCTGTGCGTGCCTCCTCCTAAGACACTGGGTTGTTGGGGAGGGACCCAGATCAGCTGTTGACATAGGGAAAAGTTCAGCTCCTGGCCAAAGGCTTGAAACCACACAAGCAAAGAGGTGAAAACCAGTACAGCAAGATCTGTTCTGCAACATTCTTCTGAGTTGAATACAGAAAAGCAGCACAAAAGTCCACTGACTAGTTTCTAGACTTTCCGGTGTCCTCGAATTTCTAGTGCAATGCTTATGTTAAATGGATCACCCCTAAGTGGAAAGTGCCTCGAACAGCAGGCAAAGCAGTTAACACTGTGCCTGGTGCACAGTAAGGGCTCAAGAGAAAGGTTACATCTCCAAAGAGATGGGGGTGAGTGGAGAGAACAGTGACGGGCTTATGGGCAGGGGGAGGTGCACCGAGACTGCCACCCCCACCAAGCTCCCCTTAAGAGGAGTTTCTGTGCATGAGCACAAGAAGGCTGCCAGCATGTCCTCATTTTCCTGGTTCAGTTGAGAACAACTTTGCAGTCTTTCTTTCACGTTTTTCTCTGCTCTGGGCTGATGGAAAATGACGCAGCTGTGTGGTGGAGTGGAGAACACTCCTGAGTGTATAATGCATTTGATATCATGGAAGAGAAGAGGATTAAGAATCTGAAGGCTTAGGTTCTAGCACCCCCTAGTCATTGTGTCAACCAACATGTGTACCCACACTTTTCTCAATGCTCTGAGGGTAGGAGGCAGGAAGCTCCCAGATGAAAACTGCCAGAGAAATGTAAGATGTCCTGAACACTAATATCGAAACATGAATCTAAAGTGAATCCTTTCAGTGGTTCAACAACATGGAGCGAAAAAAGGAGAGGCCTCTGCCCAGGCCACACCCTCTTTCACTGCTCACAAAGGAGGGGTCGTGGGGTCCTGATAGCCATGCTTGTACCCTGTGACCCAGAGCAGATGGCTCAGCCCACCAGCTTCTCTCCTAGAATCTGGAACTTGGATCGCAGGGACTTAGTTGGCGGGCCAGGTAAACCTGGGAGCTGAGGAGGCAGATTTTGCCATGAGCACTGAAGCAGCAGAAGGCAGTCTGCAGGGAGAGAGGTGTGAAGACGATCTAGAAAGGGCAGCAGAAATGTGTGGCCCAGAGAGACACAGACTGAGTGATGGAGTCACAGCCGTCTTTGCTCCTAATGACCTGGTTCTTGGTTCCAGGGCCTAGTGAGACCTGCTGCATTTCCAGCTCTGGGTCTGTGAGCAGCCTGTCTCCTTAGACCATAGCCTGCCTTTTCTCTTAAGTGGTTGGAATACATTTTTGTCATTTGCCATCAAAAGAACCTTGACTAAAATGGTGGTGGTTGGGGGGGCAGATAGGATAGGAGATAGGATGCTGGATAGATACAGTCTGATACAGGTCTATGTGTTTTCCCCAAAAAAGATGTGCTGAAGGCCTCACCCCTGTTACCTGTGAGTGTGACTGTTTAGAAATAGGTCTTTGCAAATGTAATTAGTTAACAAAAGAAGTAGAAAAGGAGGGCCTCATCCAGTATGTCTGGTGTCCTCATAAGAAGAGAGGAGACACAGCCAGAGAGATACACAGAGAAGAAAACCATGTGACGACAAGCCAGAGACCGGAGTGATGCATTTACAAGCCAAGAAACGCCAAGGATTGTGAGAAACCACTGGCTACTGGGAGAGAGGCATGGACCAGACTCTCCCTAAGAGCCCCACAGAAGGCACCAACCTTGCCAACACCTTGATGTCAGACTTCTGGCCTCCAGAACTATGAGAGGGTATCTTTTTGTTGTCTTATGGCCCCCAGTTTATGGTGCTTTGTTAGGGCAGCCCTGGGAGACTTAATACATCCCAAACAGACCGTACACAACACACCACCAACAGTCTAGGAAAATACCTGGGCGGATGCAGAGGATATGGCAGCCCCTGGGGTCAGTGTGGGGCAGCACGGTGAGGAATCCAGAAGCGAGGACATCTTTCAAGGCTGACGGCTTCAGGTTATTGAAGACTTCGGGCCAGCTTCTCCTGCAGCTGTGGTAGTTGACCAGGAGCTGTAGGGCCCGGTCGTAATCAAACTTGCGGGCTCGGAGGAAGCGTAGCAGGAAGGCATCGTCCAGTGAGGTGCTCAGGTTTGGGTACTCCTTCCGCACCATGTCACGAAGGGCCTGGGCGTCCCGAAGTCTCCATTCCGGCTTCTCCTGCAGCTCCTCCCTGGCTTTGGTGACCAGGTCTTCTGTCAGTGAGCACACATAGCCTGGAGGCTCGGGGGGTGGTGGCGGTTCATTTTCGGAAAGCGAGGCCACTGAGGGGCTGGTTCTCAGAGAGTCACTGTCTTCTGACATTGGCTGCTGAGATCCTGCCAACACAGAAGGCCAAGTGAAGTTAACAAAACCCAGCACTGCTCATTTCAAACCCACCCAGGGTTTGAAAGAGAGAGGGACAGGAACATTCTGTTGAGCCAAATACACACACAGCAGTGTGTTTCTTAGCCTGGAGAATGAACTGGACTGGAACCATATGCCCATGTCCAACCTCAGACTGACTGAGGTCAGAATCTCCATGGAGGCACCCAGGCAGCTACAGCAAAATACACATCGTCCCCAAGAAGAACCACTGTCTTGCTTACAAATCTGTGAATAGGTGCTCGACCTTACTGTAATTAAATAAATGTGAATTAAAACAGTCTTTTGGAAGGCGGTTTGTCAATATCTATCTAATTTAAGACTGTATACATTTGACCCATGATTTCATTTCTAGGGCATACACTTGTGTGTCCGTATAAAACATGTACATATGGATGATTATTAGTTTTGATTATAATGGCACAAGATCGGAAACAACCGCATGTCAGTAGGAGACGGGTTGAATACAATGGTATATGGATGGAATAATCTTCAATCATAAAAGGGAATCGGGCAGATCTTTATGAATTAACCTGTTACGGAAAAGAAAAGCAGGTTGCAGAACAGTGTGCATGGCCTGTTTTTTTTTTTCCATTGTGTTAAATATATATACCAAAAAAACTTCACTGCCATCAAGTTGATTCTGACTCATAGTGACCCCCACTGGGTTTCTGAGGCAGTAAATCTTTATGGGAGTAGATAGCCCAGTCTTGCTTCTGCAGAGTAGCTGGTGGGTTTGAACTACCAACCTTCTGGTTAGCAGTCAGATACCTTAGCCACCGTGCTACTAGAGCTCCTTAAATAAATAAATATATATACACACACATATATAACAAACATTTGCCGTTTCATTTTTCTCATTGCCATTTCAAAATTTTTTCCATGCACAAGTCAGTGACACTAATTACATCCATCATGCAACTACCATCCCTAGTGTCTGTTTTTTCAATATATACCTACATACACTTGTGAAGGCACAGAAATTTCTGAAAGGAGATACGAGAAACTCTTATTCCAAGTAACAATTGGTCTCTATTTGCTGGAACCAACAGATGAAGAGTCAGAAATAGGAGGAGGATATGGAATGTGTGGGTAATTGGCTCCATGAACAAATGCTTCCTTTGCCAGGAAACCAGAACAGGATGGTGCCTGGCTGCCATTATTGAACATTTTGATCAAAGATTCCATAGAAGAGTCCTATCAAAAGAGGGAAAATGCAGAACGGACTTTTAAATCCTTGTGGAATCCAGACTTTATGGAGCCATAGAGGCTGGATGCACTCCCAAAATACTGCCCTGAGATAATCTTTTAACTTTAAACCAAAAATATCCCCTGAAGTTTTCTTTAAACAAAACAACAGTTTAGCTTAATTAACAAAGAATGTCTGCCTAGAGTCCTGTGTCCTTTCAAGAGCTATCTAGATGGAGTCAAATTGACAACTCGAAAGATTAGATAGGAAACTTAGGAGGAAGACAGTTGTTTATGTCGGGGAGGAACAATTCAGAAATGAAGGGTGAGAATGGTTGCAGAACTCAATATAATCATCACTGAACTGTACACTGAGAAATTACTGAATGTGTGTAAGTGCTGCTATGTATATTCTCGGGAGCTCTGGTAGCGTAGTGTCTAAGGCACTTGACTGCTAACCAGAAAGCTGGCAGTTCAAGCCCACCAGCCGCTCCTCGGAAGGAAGATGGGGCAATCTACTTCCATAGTGATGCTGCCTCAGAAACCCAAGGAGGGGTCGCTATGAGTCGGGTCCAACTTGATGGCAAACAACAACAACTACGTGTATATTCTCAATGAGAGTTTTTTTTTTTTTTTAAAAAAAAGAAACTTAACAATGGCTGGTTCTAGGTAACAGGACTGGACAACTGGACATTTAAGGTGGAAAAGAGTTAAATTTTTATTGTACTGTCCCTTTTTTTTTTTTACCACGCACACATATAAGTTATGGTGGCCTTGAAAACACGCTGCTCAGACCCACTAGGGAAGCAGAATAGACAGGCGGCCCCAGCTGCTGCCCCCTGGATTTTCCACCTCATTTGTACCAAGGCCATACTTTGTGCAGATGCTTCCAGCCAATGACAGAGTGAGACTCGAAGCATCTCTGTGATCTACCTGAGCCTTTCCAGAAACTGCACTGCACTCCCAGACTTCCTGCCCAAACCTCCTTCACTGGAGTCCAACCTGCACCCCAGGCTGAAAGCCTTCCCTGCCTCCTCCAGTTCCCCTCCCCTTTGTCCTCCAAAGTTTCTTGCATGTCTCACCTCATCCTGGTGTCTGCTTCTTGGAGAACCTTGACTAACACATTAATTAAAACTAAAACCAAAAGCAGCTGCCTTAGAGATCCCATAAGGAGTTCTGGTGGCATAGTGCCTAAGGCATCTGACTCCTAACCAGACGGATGGTGGTTCAAACCCACCAGCCACCCTGTGGAAGGAAGACTGTGCAATCTAGTTCTGTAAAGATTTACTGCTTCAGAAACCCAAAGGGGGTTGCTATGAGTCAGAATCAACTTGATGGCAGTGAGTTTAGTTTTTTATTAGAGATTCCAAGGACAAGGTGAGAGCAAGGCTGCCTAGCCCAGGCTCTTGTCCACAGGCTGTCACTGACCCTCCATTCTGAGCTCCACAGGGAAAGCAGGGGTCATCTCGGGGGTATTTGCACATACCTTGGATGTCCTGACTGCACCAAGCCGGCCTCCCCAAGCTGCTGCAGCCACAGTGCCCAGGTCACTCCCTCTGCATCTGAGGTCTGCCCCTACTCCCTCCCTTGCAGCCTCCAGCCCCACCCATGTCTTCACTTCCTCCCAAAGGCTCTCCTGCCCCGTGCATATCCTGTTCCCTCTAACTAGTAGTTCTTTCCCCACTTCACCTGCACAGCACTGATTCACCCTTACATACCGGATTAAACTTAATTCAACTTCATTCACTCAACAAATACTGAGTACTTACTGTGTACTAGGAGCTCTGGTAGCATAGTGTCTAAGGCACTTGACTGCTAACCAGAAGACCAGCAGTTCAAACCCACCAGCCACTCCTCGCAAGGAAGGTTGGGCAATCTACTTCCATAGTGATACTGCCTCGGAAACCCAAGGAGAGGTTGCTATGAGTCAGGTCCAACTCAATGGCACATAACAGGCCCTTTTCCAGGTACTGGGGATTCAGGAGTGAACAGACAAAAAGTCCTGCTTTCATTGAGTTTAGATATTCTAGTAGGGGACACCAACGATCAGCAAAACAAGCTATATGGCCCAAATGCTATTAGAAGCTTCTATAAGAAGGTGGTAAGTGCTGTGGAAGCAGAAAAGGGGGTTAGGTGTGACTGGGGATGGAGGTTGCAATTTTAAGCAGGATGGTCAAGGCAGGCGTCACCAAGGTGACATTTGGGCAAAGGCCTGAAGGAAGAGAGGGAACAAGCCACCCAGAGAATCTGGTGGAAGAGTAAACACAAAGCCTAAGGCAGGATGTCTAGCTTTTGTGAGGAAATGGAGGCCAGTGTGGCTGGAATTATGTGAGCAAGGAAGAGAACAGTAGTTAATGAACTCAGAGGTACACGGCCTTGTAGGACCAGTAAGAACTGACTTTTCATCTGAGATGAAAGCTGTGGAGGGT